AGAGAGAACTGCCTTGCGCCCGTCATTGCACTATATTGCGGGCGGGAGGCAGTTAAATAAACCGTAATAAATAAGTGAAAAAACAACACATATATAGCATTGACCGGAACTGGAAGTTTCAGAAAACAACAATCCAGAGGTGGTGAGAGCACCTACGGTCTATTGTCACTTCAGGTTTATCCATGTATATGATACCGGGCTTTTTACAACTGTTTGCTTGTGAGTAATGTCCATTTGAACAACTAAAGGATCTTGGTTTTAATACTACACCATTGGAGTGCCTCTCTGCTCTTTGTTTTACATGATAATCGTGAGATAGAGGAATATCATGCTTGTATGATATATAAGCATTGGTTATAGTCCGTCTATATTTTGGAGGATTATTCCTTGAAGCCTGTTTGCCAAACATGAAAAGCGGGAGGCAACAACTTTTGGTGAATGCACATCCGTGTGGGGAATATTTTGAAGCACTTGTTATCATTAAACAGCACATGGTGGATTCCAAAGAAGGAGGAATCATTTCTGTGGACTTTGGATCATTATATATATTTTTGTATTCACATTAGTTCACAAATGTCATTTTTTTATTTATTCACATTTTATTGTTGTACTCACTATATCACTTTTTCATTCATTAATTTAGCACCACCATAACACTATATGTGTTGTTTTTTCACTCATGTACTTTCTGACTGCTTATCACATTTCCTGAGGTGCTAAAATACCAGGGCAGTATACCCCCCCCCCCCCCAAATCACCCCTTTTTGGGAAGTAGACACCTCAAGGATTTTGCAGAGAGGCATGTTGAGTCCATGGAACATTTTATTTTTTGCTAACAATTTTTTTAAAATTACCATTTTTTTGACTCTGTCACTTTAATGATATATTGCTCATGCATGCCATGGGTATATGTGGAATAACACCCCAAAACACATTCTTCTACTTCTCCTGAGTATGGGGATACCACATGTGAGAGACATTTTGGCAGCCTAGCTACATACAGGCTCCCAAAATCCAATTTTTTTTTTACACAAAGTTGTCATTAAATGATATATCTCTCACACAAGCCATGGGTATATGTGGAATAACACCCCAAAACACATTCTGCTACTTCTCCCAAATATGGAGATACCACATGCGAGAGACAATTTGGCATTCTAACTACATACAGGTCCCCAAAATCCAATGACCACCTCCAGGCTTTCAAAGGGCACATTTCCTCATATCACTTCCCCACTACCTATCACAGTTTCGGAAGGCACTAAAATGCCAGGATAGTACAAACACCCCCCAACAAATGACCTTTTTCGAACGTAGACACCCCAGGGAATTTAATAAGAGGCATGGTGAGTATTTTACAGATATAATTTGTGTCACAGCATTTTGAAAAAGAAAATACATTTTTGTTTTCTTTCTTCATATTCCAAAAACATGTGACAACAAATGAGATCTGCAAAATACTCACCATGCCTCTTAGCAAATACCTTAGAGTGTCTACTTTCCAAAAAGGGGTCATTTGGGGGGGTTCTTCTACTATTCTGGCATTTCAGGACCAACATTAGAAGCTTATGCCACACATCACCCACTCTTGAAGACCAAGCCTTTTCTGACACTTTTTTTTCACATGAAAACAGTTTTTTTGTTAGAAAATTACTTTGAACATCGCTGATCCTGCTAACACTGCATTTTTGGGGACACTATACTAAGTAGGCACTACTATAGTTCTGTTCATGATCAATATCTTGATCCATTCAAACACTATACTAGTAATGGGGGTGATCAGCGACCTATAGCGTGAGTGCGATAGTGTGCGGGCAATGCTAGCTGACCCTGGCTGGGAGGGACACTAACTGACCCTGATGCTATTTGATGTTGCTAGTGGCAAAAATACAGTGATCAGTGAAAAATGATATATACTGACACTGTACTAATGGCACTGGCTTGGTGATGGAGTGATCAAAGGGTTAATAGGGGTGATCAAAGGGTTAAATGTGCCAAACTAACGTGTGTGTGAAAAATGTAGTGCTTTTACTCAGTGTTGTGTTCTCAACCTGGACTCACCAAAGGGGGCAGTGGGAGATGCAGGCGTGTTCACACCCCCAAAATAGGAAGCGATGCAAGATTACATCACTTTGCCAAGAGCTGCTGCTCACCTGCAAAACCTGGGTAAGCAGTTGGCAAGTAGTTAAAAAAAATCATTTTTTTTTAATTCTCAATATGGTATTATTTATTTTATTTTTTAAACTTTTTTTAAATACTTTTATCAGAATAGTACAATGTTACCATAGTAACACTGTACTGCTGGGCGGGAATCAGGGATTTTTTTTTGTTTTTTTCACTTTGCTTTGCTAGAGAAATAAAGATCCTGCAATGTAAAGCTGGCTGTCATGAACCTAACTCATTCATGAACTGTCATCAATGAATTAAGCTTTGACAGCTCAAGATAGTCTGTGATTGTCTGAAGCTGGTTACATGGTACAGGGTGCTGTGATTGGTCCAATGTATCATGTGACAGCTGTGGGCCAATCACAGCTCATTAGGAAGAGGAGCAGAGCTGTTATGAATGAGATTGATTCATAAAAGCTTTGCTTACATTGTGATCATGTGATCACCGGGTCCCATTCACTGGGATCTTCATTCCGCTTTGTCCGCCAGACACATAAGTCGCAAGGGGGGAGCGCTGTGCCCCCTGTGTTAGTACAGCCAAAGTGATGTATGGGTACGTCGCTTTGCCTGTAGCTACCGCCTGGCTGCAGTACATTTTTGGGCGGGCGGGAAGCAGTTAATATGATTATTATGAACGGATCTGTGCTGGTATTCATAGATCATTAGGCAGGGAGGAAGAACACAGCTGTGCCTATGTTTACAGCTGGGAACATGATCCATCACTTCCCCTTGTACCTGCGCCATCTAGTGTGCACCAAGCTAGGCCCACACTTAACCCTTTGATCACCTAGATGTTAACCCCTTCCCAACCAGTGTCATTAGTACAGTGCACATTTGTAGCATAGATCACTGTATTAGTGTCACTAGTTTCCACAGAGTATCAGTGTAAAAACATTGCAGTCCCACTATAAATTGCAGATGGCCACCATTACTAGTATAAAAAAATAAATAAACAATTCTAGTATATGTCCCATAGTTTGTAGGGAAAATGTAATAATGTAATGAGTAATACGCTTTCAGTGGGTTCCCTGTTGACAACTGAATGTAAAAAAAAAAAAAGAACTGCAATTGAAAATTAAGAAAGAAAATAGCATGGGGTTCCCCCACATCTATACCAAGCCCTTCCGGTCTGGTATGGATTTTGAGGGGAAGCCACATGCCAAAATAAAAAAATGGCATGGCCCCCTCCCAAAATCCATGTCAAACCCTTATCCGAGCTTGCAGCCCAGCAGATCAGGGTGTAAAAGCAATCAGTGTAAAAAAAAAAAAAAAATCTTCAAACCCCCCATCCCCCATGGTGACATTGTACTGCTAGGGTGACAGTATATTAAAAAAACCCATAATAATAATATAAAAAATAAAACAAATGTAAAAAATGTTTAAAAATTATAATTTTTGGGTATAAACTAATTTGTTTTGTTTTTTTTACTAAAGATAACGGAATAAATTTTGGCCAAGATTTATGATGAAATACTATTTATTTGCAAAATTTTATAAGAAAAATACTTTTTTTCAAAATGTTTGGACTTTTTCATTTACATAGCAAAAAAAAAAAATCCCAGTGGTGAATAAATACCACCAAAATAAAGCTTTATCTGTCTCACAAAAATGCTAAAAAATTAATATGGGTACAGTGTTGCATGACCGCGCAATTGTCATTCAAAGTGTGACAGCGCTGAAAGCTGAAAATTGGCCTGGACAGGAAGGGGGTGAAAGTGTCCGGACTGGAAGTGGTTAAAGGATTTTTTTTAAATTCTTTTTATTGTAACCGTTAGCCGCCCGGCCAATGGCCGTTTGGCGGCTTGAAAAGCACTGCAGCTTTCCGGGTGCACGCCATTTGGCGTGCTCCCGCACATGCGCGGTTTGCGCGGTTGCAGAGTGACGCAGCAGTGCAATCTGTCACCGCCCGTGCACCTCGGACACGGCCGATGACAGATCCGAGTACCGGCTCCCGTTGCCGGTACCATGTGACCTGCTGTGACCAATCACAGCAGGTCACATGACAGTTGTATACAATGGATGGCTTCATTCATAATGCCATCCATTGTATACTAGTGCCTAGCTGTGAATGGTCACAGCTAATCACATGCACATGTCATGTGATTAGCTGTGACCAAATCATAGCTAAGCACAAAAAAAAAAAAAAAAAAAAAGCTGAATGAATCGATTTCATTCAGGTAAATGCTTGCTTATAGCAAAGTAATTCTTTGCTATAAGCAAATTGTGTAAAAAAAAAAAAAAAAAAAAAAAAAAATACTGATCACTTCCCCAAAGTAGTACAGTGTTACTATGGTAACATTGTACTATTTTGGTCATAGTAAAATATGAAAAAAAATCTTAAAAAAAAAAAAAAAAAAAAATGTAATAAAAAATTAAATATAATAAAAAAATAAAAAAAAATAATAAAAAAAAATATATATATTTTTTTTTCATACTGTCACCAGTCAGTGTCGCTGTTCACCGCCATGCCAGTTATATGATGACGCTGTACTGCACTGGTGACAGTATGTAAAAAAAAAAAATAATTTTTTTAATTTTTTCATTTTCCGAAAAATTATGACAAAAAAATACAACTTCAAAAAACTCGCCATTCCTCTTATGAAGTATGTCGGACTGTCTACTCTGCAAAAAGGGGTCATTTGGGGGATATCTGTACTGTTCTGACAATCTTGGACCTCAAGATATTAGATTGGCTGTCAGTACTTCAGGATTGATCAATATTCAGATCTATACCATAGTTTGTGAACTCTATAACTTTCCTACAAACTAAAAAAAATACATCCTAATTTGGGTTATTTTCACCAAAGACATGTAGCAGAATACATCTCGGCCTAAATTTATGAAGAACAATTATTTATTTGTAAACTTTTATAACAGAAACAAAGAAAAATGTGTTTTTTTTTTTTCAAAATTTTTGGTCTTTTTTTGTTAATTTAGCAAAAAATAAAAACC